GGCCCAAAAACGATCCTCAGCTGGCGTCCAACGGTCCTCAGCTGACGTCAAGAGACCCTCAAAAGGCCTCAAAGGCCCCTCGACTGTTCAAAGGGCCCTTAGAATGCCTCAATGGGAACTCAAGAGACGTTAAACGGCCCTCAAAAGGTTTGAAAGGGCCCTCTGCTGATGGCAAAGGGCTCGCACCTGAGTCAATAAGAGCCTTGTAAAAAAAAACGGACCTGAGAAACCTTGCCGGCCCTGGTTATCTGCGGGACTCCTACACTTACCTGAGTGGCCCCCGTTTACTGAGGGTTATTGATGGGTGGGGTCCCTGGTTTCTTAACCCGCGCCCCGTAGGGGGGGGGGCCGAAACGGCCCCCCTGTCCTTTTCGGTCGATATCTCCTAAACGGCTGGAGATATCGCCACCAAACTTTCAGGACCCCTCCGGGCATCAATTTTACACATTGTGACCAAAAATTTTTCCAGAGGCTGTGATAGGTTGGCCACAAATGACGTCAGAGTGACGTCATGTTCTGTCATTTTCGACCGAAAAAAGACCTTCGCGAGAAGACCTGTCAGGCCTACAGCTTTGAAGATACAGAAAAATGATCAAACATAAAAGGTGTAGAATTGACAGGGCTACAAAACTGCTATCTCGGATTTTTGAAATTTTTGAGTTTTGATCCCCAAAAATCAAAAAAGCATTTTTTTGGATATATTAGCCAAAAAATCCAAAAAAAATTAAGTTTCGAAAAAACCGGAATATATGTGATAGTAACTACCGTCTTCTATCTACATACCAAATTTCAGATCGATACCTCGTTTTTTGGCCAAGTTATAGCGAAAAAAAAAACTGTTCAAAAATGATGACGTCAAATTTTTAAATTCAATTTTTGGCAATTCTAGAACTCGTAGAGCAAAACAAAGACCACCATTAGACTCCCCGTGACGAGCTGCATCGAATGGATACCCATTTTATGCAAAAATATCAATTTTGAAATTTGACCTAATTTGACCTGACCTTGACCTGACCTTCACCAAAACGTGACTTAGGCTGGCCCCAAAGGCTGCCTAACCCACATAATCGCATTTATCATGTAAAATGGACCATAAAACATGTATCACACGGCACATTCATATTGTGACCCCCGGTGACCTGACCTCGCTGTGACCTGACCTGGTATCAGTGACCTCAGATAGCAAAGTATGTGTTTGACGAACAATACACCATCGATGGTTTTCAATAAATTACCAATTTACTCGATTTCACAGCACATTTCTTGAATTGCCTGTGAACGGTGAAAATCTGACCTTTGACCTGACCTGTGACGTCATCGGTTTGACCTAGGTCAATGAAATTTGGTCACAAGGTAGTTCCCGGGTAGGGCTATCAAACGCCGTTTGAATTTTGAAAATCGGCCGGTAACTTTCCGGGATCTTAGGGGGGGGGGGGCCGAAACGCCCCCCCCCCCCCTACGGGTGGTAGGGTCCGCCGGTAGCCCTACGGGGCGCGGGTTAAGGGGCGCCTGGTTACCAGAGGGGCCCATGGTCACCTGGTGGGCCCCTGATCAATTGAAAACCCCTGGTCATCTGAAACGCCCCTGATTACCTAAAGGGTCCCATCACTTGGATTCAGTGACATAGCAAGGGAGCGAGGGGGTACGTGCCCGTTCTCGGGTTTAGGGTTCCTTCGAAACCGAGGGGCCCTGCGGCGCCAGTTGGTAGCAGAGGGTTCGCGCTGGCCGCACTTCAACTCGGAAGGACACCAGGGCTTGTGGGGGGACGTTATTGGCTCCTATGTAGCCACAATTATCTTCATAAAGGCCCAATGCCGGTTTCTGAGAGACCTCGCCGGCCGCTCAGGGCCCTAAGTAGTAACGGCCAACGAGGGATTGGCTGCTATGGCTCCACATCCGTCTGTGATAGACACACGGTCCACACCAGTGTTTCTAAAGGCACCCACAACGGCAACTGCGAGGCCCCTCGCCCCACCTCCAAGGGACCCCCACCAGCGCATCTTAACCCGCGCCCCGCTGGGCTATTCAGCCATACGCGCCCTGCTGGGGGGGGGGGCAAATTCTGCCCCCCCCCTGTCTAACTTCCGAACCGATGGTCGTAGAAAGACGGGGAAAACGGCAATCGAAAGCTCTCAACAAGGCGGATCTTCAGAGCCCAAATTTTTTTGCTTAAGTAGGTCAGAGGTCAGGTCAAGGTCAGGTCAAGGGTACAAAATGCAAGTTTCTACAGTATCGGCCTTGCACCGTAATTGCCGAAGAATGGACTGAGACTGATTGCCCAAAACGTGTTCTTAGGCTACCAAGACAATATTCGTTGCACACAATGTCATTCAAAGGTCAAGGTCAGGGTCAGGTCAGGTCAGGTCAGGTCACCAAAAACAAAATATAGAAAAGGGCATGTGCGACACATGTTTTATGGGTCATTTTACTCATGGAATTCAATAGGCACACTCAATAAGTGATATGGACCGCCTCTGGATGAATTTCAGGTCGAGGTCAGGTCAAGGTCAGGTCAAGTCAGGTCAAATTTTGAAGTTGGTTGTTAAGGCCTAAAAAGGTGTCTATCCGATGCAGTTTTTCACGGCGAATCGAATGGTGCTATTTTTGTTTCCGTACAAGGTCTAGAACTTCCAAAAAAATCATTTTTCAAAAATTTTGTGTGTCGTGACGTCATAAAATTTTGAATAACTCCCACATTTTTGAACCGATTCTTCTAAAAATTGGTATGTAGGTGCACATAGACCACTTCTTTGACATATATTCCGGTTTTTCGATAAACTCAAAATTTTGGATTTTATAAATATTTTCCCAAAAAGGTAAGTTTTTTGGAAAAATTTTGGCCAAAATCCAAAATTTTCAAAAACCCGAGATAGCCATTTGATAGATAAAGTAGAATCACGTATAACCTTTTTTGTTACGTCTTGATTCCTTTAAAAATGAAGATGTTAGCGGCGTTTGAAATTTTGCCGTTTTTGAGGCGAAAATGGCGAACATGACGTCACTAAAACGTCAATTTCTCAAAAAATTTCCGACGGATTTCGCTCAAATTTTCAGGGAACGTGTCAAATTGATGTATGATAAGGTACTGAAAGTTTGACGTCGCTGGCGTAACGCGTTTAGAAGTTATTGGTGAAAAACGGGAGGGGGGCAGATTCTGCCCCCCCCCCCCAGCGGGGCGCGGGTTAAGGGCCTACATCGGCGGCTCTGAGAGTCCCCACACCGACGCCTCTGAGGGCCACGTACCAGTGACTCTAAGGGCCTCTTACCAGCCTCCGAGTGTCCTTGCCAGCCTATGACGGGCCACTTTCCACTTGCAGGCCATTTTGCAGGGCCACACACATGCCAATGATGGCCCCACGAGTGTCTCTAAGCCCTAGCCCCTAAGACCCCGCAACGGCGCCTGTGAGGACCCAACACCAGCGCATCTGACGGCCTTTCACTGGCACCTCTGAACGCGCCACACACCGGTGACTCTGCAGAGCTCGCTCGCTTCGCTCGCTCGTAAAATACCATGTAAATTAGGCATTAGTGTACATTAGGCACACTCCTCGGGCATAAATGATACTTTTGAGACCCGTCTGCCAGTGAGACTGGACCCACCGTGCCTCCCTCCTCCCATCGAAAGGTCCTGGGTACATCCTTGCCTGAGCTGACCCCGGGCGCCCGGGTGACTCGCGGGCCCAGGGTCAGGTGACCAGGGCGAAATTCTGGTACGTGTCCGACATGCATCGTACATAGTCCTGTTAATTTGATTCATTGGTTAAGCATTAAATATAAGTTATACCTAAGCTGGATCTCTAGTCTGTGATCCCGCATCGTATCAGATATAATGACATTTCATGTCGATGTCCCTAAAAAAATATACGAATATACGTGAAAAAGGAGTGCTGCTCCAGCTCCTACACATCCGAGCCAAACAGTGACCGGCTCCTGCTTCTAGCCACCTGGGGCCGGTCGGCCGGCCGGCAGTCAGTCGCTGCCCGGGGCTGATTTCTGAGGCCTGCAAAAATGTTTATTAATGAAATGTTTTACGTAATAAATTAGATGATTAGGTATATGTACCGGCTCTGAGTCGCATTTGAGAAAAAAACAGCCTAGCGTAAAAATATATATGTTTTGAAAATTAAGCTGGTACCGAAATAATTGTTTTACCATGCATTGACAAACCAATTGCTCAAGCTTCAAACCAACCGAAATATAGCCCCGTGGGCCGTATTTTTTTTTTGGGGGGGGGGGCCCTTCGGCATGGGGGGCCCAGTTCGAAGGTCGTGCCCCCCCCCCCCCCCATTCAAAAATCCTGTGTGCGCGCCTGCTGACCCACCTGAATTTGTCATGGAATGTAATGATGGAAGGGTCCATACTTCATACATAGGCGGCGGAACGGGGGGAGGGGGGTGGGGGCACCGGGTACCGTGCCCCCTTGATTTAGGCCCATTCTAACATAAGCCCTATGGGCGGAAAGAATGGAAAGAATGGGACCAAAAGTCGGCAGTGCCCCCCCCCCCCTTAATTGAAGGTGTTTCGCCGCTGCTGGGTCCATATTTAGTATTAACTTCTGTCTTCTTCCTTCATATTCAGCTACGGTCTCTTACAGGGAAGCTTCGTCACCTCTAACAATTATTTGATTAATTCTTTATTCTGATGTATGACAGTGAGATATCCTGTTAGTACAGCTAGGGCACTAAAGAGTCTACAGCGTTAAAGGTGCTAAGTTGTTAATAGATTGGCAAAAATGTTACTGGGAACCCTAATATATTACGTAAAGTGAGCATATTTACATATGTTTTTCCAAAGTTTTTACATATGTTTTACATATGTTTTTCCGACTTTGGTCCGTGTTTTTATATACCCATCTCTTGATTGTGATTTACTGTGATATTGACTGTGTCATGTTTTTATCTATGTACTCTGACTCGGACTAAATATTAAGCCACTATGTGGAAATGTCCTCAATACACCGAACTTGAACTTGAACTTGAACTTGAAAGTTTTATTTAGCTGTCAATTCTCCCACTTAGTGCTGAAATTTTTGAATTGTAATTTAATTTCAATTTTTTTATAAGAAATGAGAATTATTGGTTTCAATTTAATGTAGAAATTTCTTTCAAAATAAATATTAAAACAAAAGATTCAATTCAAATTATTTACGTAAAAATGTGCAAGGAAATCTTACATCTCTTTCTTTGGAGTTTCCGCTGTTGAGGTGAGTTGTTGTTCCGTGTATTGTTGGTGTATTTGTATTTGTTTCTTTTGTGATTTAAGTCGATTTTGACTGATCCGGGTATATTATGTTGATTCAAGTTGATTGCTGTCAACTTTTGTGAAAGTACCCGCGCTGACTTGCCTTTTGTGGAAGTGCTAGATTGTTGCGCAAAGGCTTACTTGCGCTATATTTGTCTCGGCATGGGATGATTTTATTTATTTTGCATTTTTTGCTCGTGCGAAATGCCAGACAGGTTTTAGAATAGTACTTAATTTGAATCTAATTTTTTGTAGTTCTCGTTTCTATAATTTTATTAAACAATCTGAATCCAATTTTACTTCACGAGTGGTTAGACTCAAGGGAGCTTGTTGTATGGCACCAGAGTACACTCACCACCCGATGGGGCTTTGCACATTTTTTGTATTATGTTGAGGTGTTAACCTCATTTATTACTGAGTGAAGGAAGACAGGTTGAACAGGTGTCTATGCACTGGCGAGGCATTTCAGATATTACAGTGTTCTTTTGCTCTGCTGTGATTCTTTGAAGTTATCAGCCAATGGATATTGGAGGTTGAAAATCATTCATTTCATTATTCTAACATTACTAAAAGAGGAGAAGTGAATATTTGAAAATGGGTTGTACTTTTGATATAAAAAATCCACAGTGCATTGAACTTTAAAATCCAATGCATTATATGTGTTGGTGCATTAAAGCAATGTATTTAGCTTAACCAACTCAACCAGTCATATTTGCTTGAAAAAGCTAGTTACATATTCAGCTGATGGTGTTTTGCTCAGCTCACTTGTGGTGCCTACCTAGGTTTTCTCTGCAACATTTGTAAAGACATAATTGCTCAGCAGCATAAAGAAGTTATTGTGTTTATTGTGACAAAATTTTGGCAAGTTTTGAACCATTCTGCCAATTTATAGCTCATCTTTCATCAGTGTTAGCCTTCGTTTTCACAGTATAATGGTTGTGTGCAAATTTTTTAGTGGCTGTGCAAGGGCAGTGTCCCAAAATTGAGTTTTGTCTTGGGTGTCAGAGGGGAAAATTACCCACCAAAAAGAGGGGAGAGAGTGGAAAACTGCTGATTCGATTAGATCAAAAAGGAGTGAGAAATGACAAAAAGCATGCATTTCATTCTAGGGTGTAGAATGTTTGATGCTAACTGGGCATCCACACAATTGTCTTTCTATAGGTAAAAAATCTATGTTTTCTTGGTTGGGACTTCGGAGTGGAAAATTGTTCTTAAAAATGGTGGTGAGAGTGGAAAATGAATTTCATTTGGATGTCATTTCCCACCCAAATAGACAAATTTTGGGACATTGTGCAAGGGTGCTAATATGATTTTTGTAGAAGTTCAGAGCCGAGGATAAATTTACCTATCCTATCCTACCTATACTTTGCTATACATCATTAATGGAAAACTGGGGTGATGTTGCTTGAAAAAGCAGAAGTTGTAAATGCATGGTGGGGTTGACTACCAGAACTATATTTGCCTAACTTATTACTTGTGTGCCCAGGATCAATACAACTAGGTGAGTTGATCATTGCCTGTGTTCTGTCATGCCTGGGGGTGTTTTGCTGACATTATTCTCACTCTGTTTCAGCACCATGGTTCAGCGGCTGACATATCGTAGGAGGCTGTCCTACAACACCCGGTCGAACCGGGTCAAAGTGTGAGTACCTGCCAGACTGGGCCACAGTGGTTCAGCTTATGTATCTGTTGTTGAACAATACTTGAGCACAAATGCAAAGTGGCATAACCAATAAGTTGATGTTAATGTTTGTTAGTTATATGCCTTTTCCTATGTTTGGCAGAAACAGTGCTGCTATGATGAATTGAGGTTTTGCTGATTCAATAATCATATTCATACCTCCAATTTTCTCAATATGTGGGGCCTTTATTTATCAATGTGTTGAACTGTGGGAAGGCTTATGCACATTTCAGACTGATCACACTGCCTCTGATATCCATCAACTCACATTATCATTCAGGAACAACATCACAACACACTCCCATCCCCACATAACAGTATCCCCACCCCTTGTCTTCCCTATAAGCCGCCGGGGCGCGCGCGGGGTGCGGTAGTCCCTACCCCCTCTGTAATTTATTCCCTGTGAGCCGCCGGGGCGCGCGCGGCGGCGCGGGGTGCGGTAGCCGCTCACTGCCTCTGTATTCTATTCCCTGTGGTCCGCCGGGGCGCGCGCGGCGGCGCGGGGTGCGGTAGCCGCTCACCCCACGCCGCCGGGCGTGCCTCTGTCGGCAGGTACCAGTGCCGCGCGCTCTGAGAGAGAGCTTGTGTCCAGAGTCGGTGGCAGTGAAGCTTCCGTGTGGAGCGAGGAGAGACAGACTGGACAAGAGCTGATCTGGGTTGACGTGCTTATGTTGAGTGAGACGTGCCAGTGCTTTGATAGAATGTAGTGACAGTGAAGGGAAGGTGTAGATAGGCGTTCGTTTGCCGTGAGATATTTTAGCGTGACACGTGTGCAGCGAATTGACGTGGTCGCCTCTGAAGTCCGAAGTATGCAAGAATTGAGTTGAAGCGAGTCTCTGCACTTCTCCCCAGCTTGGAAGAGTGACTTCCGTCCGTACGTGATCTGCCTATCGGACTGCTCGCTGACCTACCTGGCTGCTCTCTGCACCATCCACCCGTCCCGTGGTCCACCAGTCACTATGGACGGCCTGGCCACCGCCTCGCGCTACGTACGGACGTTCGAGTTCAGCAGCGCCGGAGAGGCGGGCGCGGCAGTCGACGAGGCGCCGCTGGTACTGCGCGCTCTGGTGCCGGAGGTACTCAACCGCAGCTACGGGCTCTACACGTGGCCGTGCGCGCCCGTGCTGGCCCAATACGTGTTCCACGAGCGGCGGAGGTTCGCTGGAGCGCACGTGCTGGAGCTGGGAGCCGGCACGGCACTGCCGTCTATCGTGGCCGCCAAACTGGGAGCGCGTGTGACCGTGACCGACTGCGCTGCGGCGCCGCAGCTGCTGGCCAACTGCCGCCGGGCGCTGGAGCTGAACGCCGTACGTGCCACGGTGCTGGGGCTGAGCTGGGGCCTGGTGAGCCCCGAGCTGCTGCAGCTCCCCCCGCTGCAGTTCATCCTCGGCTCGGATGTGTTCTATGACGAGCCTCTGTTCGAAGAGGTCCTGCGCAGTGTGGCGTTTCTACTGGAGACCAGCCCGCACGCAGAGTTTGTATTCAGCTACCAGGAGCGGAGCTCGGAGCGTTGCCTGGAGCCGCTGCTGGTCAAGTGGCGGATGCAGGCGCGGCAGGTACCGCTGGCGGAGTTTGGGGCAGATGGACCGGCGGTGGCGGGCTCGGATCTGCCCGGCAACCACAGCATTCAGCTGTATGTGGTGACGCTGAAACAGTAGCTTTGTACAGTAGCTTAGCTTTGAAACAGTAGCTTTGCTGAGACAGTAGCTAAGACGGACGGCGGTGAGGTGCTGCTGGGGAGAGATGTGAAGAATGTGTCTGTGTCAATACTGTTGAGTTGGCTTTCCGCGAGTGCAGACATTGGTAGTGGGTGTGGCCAGCATTCGAAGCAGAAGTTCGGCTGATTATAGTGCAGATGGCGCTAGCTGTAACGTCGACTCGCCGAAGCCGAGCCAGTGTCGTTAGCTCTGGACAATGGAGTTGAAATGTGTGGATATGGTGACATCGTTTTGGTTAGGATATGCAAGGATATCATATGGTGAGTTCTTTGGAAGACGTAACGGTAGGCTGAGGGTAGATCTGCAGTGTTCGATTCGGGACCATAGACTATTGAACCATATCAACTGGCATTGTAGCTGACCTGAATCTTCTGAAACTGATATTCAGATAGTTACTGATGTGACAAGTGCCTTGACTTTGGCTATTTTTGAGCCATAACGACTTGTGTATGTTTGAGGATGTCTTAAACGCGAACTGTGAACGGAATCCCCAGTTGTTTTGATCCGTGACTGATGTTTGTTCTGTCAATTCCGAAGTATTTACTCATCGACCCATTCCCTGCATTTTTGGGGGTGGTGGTTGGCTGATTTGTGCTAGTTGCTACCATGTGTTACTTCCGTGTTATGCCACTATGAACTACCACGTGCTACCGCAATGTGGGGCAGTAACAATGTGCCTTATAGTGAATTGACTTCATCTGTGCCTTTTTACATATCGTAGTGACATACGTGCGCTCCTGTTTTTGCTCTGGTGCTGGAAGCTAGACTCGAGATTAAAATGTGCTAGCTTTGTAACTTCATTGCACTTCTACTTTTCCTATTCGCTTCGTAGCGTTGTCGATAGATTTAGGTGTGAGTAGGCATTGGGAAGATTCTTTTACAGCGCTGTTAAGGATTAAGATGCGATTAGGCGATGTGAAAATAATTCGTGAGCTGCTTTTGTTACCATACCATCGATGTAGAATTCGAATGACCTGCAGTTTTGTCATTTTTCACTGCCAATACATTAAAAGTTTACTCAACTGTTCGAGATTGTGTAAAACAGTCGCGAGACGTCTGCCGTTTGTAGAACGAATGACTACGAGTTAGCTTTTTTTTTTGCCCTGATTGTTGGTAACGCAGACAGCTTGCATTTGATATTAACACGTCTCTTGCCTCCCCCCACTCACGCACACAATGCTTTCTTGTTCCTTCACACTTGCAAAGGTCACACGTTCCTTTTTTGCATTCTATCATGGTTCATACCACTATTGTCATTAATGTGTCATTGATTTTCCCTAGTTTTACAACGAAAATTCACCAGTCTGAGGTTACCACCAGCAACGCCATGCCCTTTCGACACCTGACCCTGGTTCCGTTTTGTTCGAACCCTGTTGGGACCTCAGACTATCAACACCGTCTCTCTATGATTGTCTGACCCACCCCCGCGCCTTGCCGGCAGTGTGAAGACCCCCGGTGGCCGACTGGTGTACCACTACCGCAAGAAGCCCAGGCGCGTGCCCAGATGTGCCGACACCGGCAAGAAGCTGACCGGTGAGGGAAATGTGACCCGACCTGACCTGACATCGTGTTAGACTGACGGGGGCCGGACACAAATGCCAGCCACTGCTGATAGTTGACAGTGTAGATAGAGAGTCGATGAATACGACATCGCCTTTTGTAGAATCAGAATGTGTCAGATTTTCGTTGACAGATTGATATACTATTCTAAATGAAGTGCTGAATGAATTATAAAGCTGGGTGGTGCCGTTCCACGAGTTGGTTTAATTCATGTCTCTTTTTCGAGCGTCGCCTACGTCACATCGGATGTTTTGATACCGATGTAGATTAGCTAGCTCGCATGTGTGTTAAACGCATAAAGACTCCCACAAATTGTCCTGGCATTCTCGCCCATACCACGCCTTTTCCTCGGCCAAACGCGTCGTGCCTCGTTAACGCGTGTTCCTGACAATGTTATCTTCCTTCTCGTTCCCCAGGCATTCGGTCCGCGCGGCCCCAGGAGAAGAAGCGCATGAAGAGGAAGCACAAGACCGTTAACCGCACCTACGGAGGAGTGCTCTGCCACAGCGCCGTCCGCGAGAGGTGAGTTACGACAGGGAGTAGTGAGTTGAGTGTTCAGGGACAGCTAACGGATGTGTGCTCTGCCACAACGCGAGAGGTGAGTCGGAGACAGCCAGAGACTGGGAGTTGAGTGTTCAGAGACACCTACTAGCCTAGTAGTACTAGTTCTGGATCACGGCGCCGTCCGTGAGAGGTGAGTCGGAGACAGCCAGAGACTGGGAGTTGAGTGTTCAGAGACACCTACTAGCCTAGTAGTACTGGGTGTTCTGGATCACAGCGCCGTCCGTGAGAGGTGAGTTGCGACAGCCAGAGACTGGGAGTTGAGTGTTCAGAGACAGATAGAGAGTGGGAGTTGAGTGTTCAGAGACAGACATAGACTGGGAGTTGAGTGTTCAGAGACAGAGACTGGGAGCTGAGTGTTCAGAGACGGAGACTGGGAACTGAGTGTTCAGATACAGCCAGAGACTGGGAGTTGAGTGTTCAGAGTAGAGATGTCAATCGGATACCAACTTTTTGGTATACTGATACCAACTTGGTTTTTGGTATTTCAATTGTAATGTGTTTGGTATTTTGTTGGTATCAAAAACCCTCACTAATGCATTAGAGGCTAAGAAATCGGTAAAAAGTTGGTATTTCCCTCATATTTCCGAGTTGGTTTGGTTTCGGTATTTTCCCGTGGTTTTGGTTGGTATTTGGTTTGGTATCGGTATTCTGGTTTTCCGTAATTGACATCACTAGTTCAGAGACAGACAGAGAGTGGGGGTTCAGTGTTCAGAGACACCTACGTAGGTATTCTGGATCACAGCGCGAGACGCGTAGCAGTGATCAAGTTTTATACTTGAATGATGTTTTACGTACTAGAATAGGTAGAGTGAAGCTAGTAAATGTTGAGCGGGGTTCTGTCCGTGGGAACTCGCAGGCTGCTTACTGCGTCAGTATAGAGAAGACCAAGCCCTAGGGCAGGCTTACTGCAGTGTGCCTTCGTATTGTTTTCTCCACTCCAGGGAGGGCGGAGGCAGGGGGCGGGCGGACGAATAACTGTTAGGGAACTGTTGGCGCAGCAAATGGAAGAAGTGTCACCCACTACCTGATTCATTGTCAGTGGCAGTCATCAGTATCGGAAAATAAGCTTCTTCGAGGAAATAGAAAAACGAGCAGTTTTTTACAGTGATGTCTTTGCTCTCTTACCCCAAACCTTCCTTTGCTCTCGCCTGTGTAGTGCCAGTGACTGTCTGCGTTCAATTAACACGCGCAGTGGAAGGGTTGCGAGTACTACGCCCAGTGGAAGGGGGGGGGGGCGGATGTCGCCCCCCCCCCCATAAGATCTCAGCTCCCACTGGAGCTAGAAAGACGAAATTTGGAGGGTAGGTGGGGGCCATGGGGAACTCTGTTGTGTGTGAATTTCATGACCCTAGGTCAATATCTTCAAGGTCAAATGAGGTCAAATGTGGTCAAATCTGCCATATTAGCGACTTTTTTGCGTTTACACGCCGATAACTCAAAAAGTTACCGGCCGATTTTTTAAAATATTTCACTATACGAAAGAACAAACATTTGTGAGTATGTATAGTGAATTTCTAGATAATCCAACAATAAATATGGCAGTTAGAAGCCTGCTAAGGGTAAGATGTCGCCGGCTGAAGCGGCATCGGCCGACGCGGGAAACGCGGCAATTACAATTTTGTGTTTACACACTCATAACTCAAGTTGTTACCGGCCGATTTTCAAAATTCTTTGACCATATGATTGCCTGTACATTTCTCAGTCTTCTCACCGAATTTGACGCGAATCTAATATAATCAGCGGTAAGGAGCGCGATGTAAAGACGGAACCGTCCCGCCCCGGCACAGTCTACAATTCAGGCGGCGCGTAACGGCTAGCGCCGGCCGCCGCGCCGCCGCGGCGGCAAGATGTTTGACTTTACACCGCTATTACTAGAAAAGTTGTGAACCGATTTTCTTACTTCTTGCACGAGAAGATCCGCTATTCAATTCTGGACAGGTAGCCGAAATTTCACATTGATATTATGCTTGCGGCGCGAGTTATTGGCGAAAAACAGGAGGGGTGGGCGAAATCCGCCCCCCCCCTTCCACTGCGCGTGTTAAAGCCCCGCCCTCAATAATTAACCAACCTGTCTGCGTGTTCTCAGGATCATCCGCGCCTTCCTGGTGGAGGAGCAGAAAATCGTGCGGAAGGTACTGAAGGCGCAGCAGGCGTCCGCCAAGGCAAAGTGATTATGACACCTACAAATATACACAGCCATCTTCACACTCAGTCTTTGTGTCAGAGCGGAAGGAGAGAGACGACAGAGAAATGCGGTACGAATGTGTGTGTGTGGGGGGGGGGGATGGAGGGTTAGAAAAGCGAAAGAAGTTCGAGAAATGGAGGATGGCGTTTGCAGGAAAAATATGAATTAGACAGAATGAAATCCCGTTTATCAAGGCCATCAACGCAATCGACTTCACACCGAAGCTGGCTACTATCGTCCGTTGGGTGGTGGACGGCGCCAAGGGGGGGGGGGGAGGGGGTGCGGGAAAGAGCCTCTTTTCTATGATCAAACAAATGTAAGCCTGGAGGAGATAGCGTAAAGCGTTGAATTACCGGCTGGGCTATTTCAAAAATTCCTTATCTTACCTAACCGTACCTATAAACTGCTAAATGCTGGAGCTTACCATTTACACGGAATTTGTTCGCAAAATCGTTGAACGGTGATTGTGCCTGCCCGGAGTATGGAACGCTGTTCCCAGGCACGTGTATGGTAGCGACATCTATATTGTTAGCTCACCAAGTATGGGTAACCGGACAAAAGATCGTAAAGCAGAAGATCGTATGGCAGAAGATCGTAGGCAGTTGATCGTATGCAAAATATCGTAATGGATAAAGATCGTACGACATAATGCTCGTATGGACAAAAGATCGTATTCGCTAAAGATCGTCAAGGAAAATGATCGTATGTCAAAAAGTCGTAATGGATAAAGATCGTACGACATAATGATCGTATGGACAAAAGATCGTATTCGCTAAAGATCGTCAAGGAAAATGATCGTATGCCAAAAAGTCGTAATGGATAAAGACCGTACGACATAATGCTCGTATGGACAAAAGATCGTATTCGCTAAAGATCGTCAAGGAAAATGATCGTACGCCAAATGATCGTATGAGATGAAGATCGTACAGTCAATATGGTATTCACATGGCAGGCACCGTTCCGTGCCTCTATCCTCAGGATACTGAAATCCTTCTCCTCCACGCCGCAACCTCCCTCCGGGCTGGACAGGCAGCTTTATCTCATGCGGGCTGCTCCCTTGGAGCGGCACCGCTGCTCCCGAGGGAGCGCATCCCGTAGCCGGGTGCAGTGAGTGCCTTGGGGCTGGGTGGCCTGTCCTCTGGACGGGCTCAGCCCCGGCGGCTCACTAGGGTGCCTGCCCAGACCAATGTCTCCCCCTATATCCTATCATCCTCCCGGCTCTGAAATGGTCTCATTGGACCGAAAGGGCCTAACCCAACAAAACAAAACAAACAATCACATGGCACATGGTGCAGCCCAACTCCAGCGCATACAAAGCTTATCAATTTCTATGTTCGCTTAGTAAGTGGCCGTCGTAAGCTCGACCATACATTGATGTTATTTCAGAGCTTAGATGGCTCAATGACACCTACTGTTAACGCCAGACCCCTTGAAGTTGAGACCCTAATTTTTCGCGATTACTTTTAAATGCGTGAAGGAATTTCAACCAAGCTCAGGACATGGCCGTTTCAAGACAGGCCGAAACTTTTTCAATTTAGATATTTTATCGCCATTTCAATATTTCAGGCACTTGTCATTGACTCGTAATGTTAAATTTCGAGCAAGATTTTCATCCGGTGTGTAGAGGCTATCACCAGTCAGTATGTGATACGTTATGACGTCACAGCTAAGCCCCGCCTCTGTGGTCTTGGCCTGCGGCGGTTTCGGGCCGGCGCGCGGTCACTCTCGCTGTGGCGGGGAGCGGGGACGGGCGACGGTCGAGCGGTGCCGAAAGCCGGCGGAGTTGTGCGTAGCGTCTTGGCTGACAGTGCCCAGAGAGCGACATGATGACTAAGGAGTCATAAATGCTCAATGCGCATTGCTTCTACAATGCTGATATGTTCGCTGATATATTTTTTTTTATAAGCTGCAAATGACGGGCAGATGGCATATAACTGACATAAGGTTAGGAAATATTCACCTGTATTTAAAGCCTATGGCGTTGCAGATAATGCGATAATGGGATGTCGGATGTCACCAAGTAGCTGCCGATTTGTACATCGCTATGCAACCATCGAACAACGCAATAATAAGTTAATTGCCTGAGCTTCACATCATACGGCTCGCTCGTATTTCAAACAGATACCCTACATCGAAAATCGTATTTGTTAGGAATCGTTAACGTTTGTTCGAAGCACGACTGAGTAGTAGGTTGAGGAGTGATGGTCCTCTTGGTCCTATATACAAGAGTCAACAAGAGCCTAACATTTAATTGACCGTCTGCTGCAATTGACTCATAGCACGTGAAGCGTCAGCGAAATTCATAGTCCTTCACAGATGGCAGGGGTGTCGTTTGTACAGAGGTCGCTGATGGGCACGGGTCAATGCCGCAGTCGTGGGCGGAGCCTAATGTCATATGACGTAGAAAGCCTCTATCCAGGATGGAAAAACAGTTAACATTACGAGTCAATGACAAGTGCCTGAAATATTGAAATGGTGATAAAATATCTAAATTGTAAAAGTTTCGGCCTGTCTTGAAACGGCCATGTCCTGAGCTTAAGGTTGAAATTCCTTCACGCATTTAAAAGTAATCGCGAAAAATTAGGGTCTGAAGGGGTCTGGCGTTAACAGTAAAAGCAACGCGTTGTATATGTGCCGAATAAATGAATGTATGTGCTGCCGTTTTCATGTACAGGTCTCGCGGGTTTTAGCGGTAGGTTTTGCACCTAGAAAATTTAGTGTACTTCAGGCTATATCTTCGCCGTCTTAAGCTTTTAAGTATTGAAGATGCGATCGACTTGTTGGGTAACAAGCCGGCCATGATCGTGTAAAATGGCTTCATCGTAGATCGATTAGTTTCTGAGATATAACCGGAAATGTAAAAGTGCAAAACCTACCGCTTAATCTCGCGAGACCTGTACCTTTTTGAAGTGAATACAACTAAACCCATGTTCCTCCCCCCCCCCCTACCGCCTGGAAGGTTAAAATGTTGCTTAAGCGGCTGAAGTAAACGGCGTTAAAAATACTTTTTCCTTCGCACTGTTACATTTTCACGGAGAATCGTCATCGCTTTACGAGTCATCAACAGATGTTTATCGCGTTATCACTATCGAAGTCGCAATCCTCCTAGTTATAGGATCCTAGTTTCAATCCAATCCTAGTTATAGGAGTCATTGATCGAAGGCCAGTTAAAGATGTCAATTGTCCATTATTGGTAATAACCACAAACAACTTGTATGCGATCATTTCTTTTGACAAAATGCAAAATACAAGCCGTTCAAACGACAAACACCCGGCCAGTTTCCCCGATAGCCTGCCTGCATCCTAACGAAAGCTCAATGCCCGCGGCCCGCAGACCATATCATGCCACTCTGTTCACTCTGGCAGCTTCTAGTTCTCTGCTCATACTTCCAGCCGTTATATTGAAAAGACTTCTAAAAAGACTCCTAACGAAAGCTCAATGCCCGCGGCCCGCAGACCATATCATGCCACTCTGTTCGCTCTGGTAGCTTCTAGTTCTCTGCTCATACTTCCAGCCGTTATATTGAAAAGACTTCGCTTCGTTCGCTGCGCTCGCTCGCTCGTAACAACACTATTCTATACGATTATTTACTTTACGAACGTAACGTTACGATCTTTTGTCGAGCGATCTTTTACAACATATGATCTTTATCTTACGATCATTTTCCTACGATCTTTTTTGTACGATCCATTGCTTTACGATTTTTTGCTTACGATCCTTGGTCGTACGATCTTTTGCGACATACGATATTTATCTTACGATCATTTTCCTACGATCTTTTTCATACGATCAACTGCTTTACGATCTTTTGCTTACGATCTTTTTGTCGTACGATCTTTTACAACATACGATATTTATCTTACGATCATTTTCGTACGATCTTTTGCGTACGATCAATTGCTTTACGATCTTTTGCTTACGATCTTTTTACCGTACGATCTTTTACAACATACGATCTTTATCTTACGATCATTTTCGTACGATCTTTTTCCATACGATCTTTTGTCTTACGATCTTTTGTCACGTAATCCCAAGTATGAAAGGGAATCTGGCTGATGGGTTTGCTTGTTTCTTGCACGCGGTCCTTGTTACCATCACTCTGATTCCACGCAGATTTAGCACTACAGACTTTCCATAATCGAAAACACGGTTTGCCCGTCGGACGGGCAAAATTGCATTTTTATTAGGTTCTTCTTAAGTCCTAAACGTTTTGAAGGATAAACCAATAATATTATGAACGAATACAGCATCATCAGCTTCCGTTGGCTAAGCGCTGTTTTTCAGGCCCGCAAATTGCCTCGCTGGGTACCAAACATACCAACAAGCACCTAACAAGCGGCTTCCACCGGCTGATAATCCTCCAAACATTTTTCCTACCGTGACACCTCAATTGCGGAGCCCACAGCCTGTTTGCCTCTGACCGCACCGTCATTAGAGCGCGATTGCCCTCCAGTACAGTGCCGTGGCTGTGGGAAGCGGGAACCAGTTCGTCCCCCGGGACGGGACAGCAACTGGAGCGGCCCCAATAAAGCTGTGTGTGGCACACCTGACCACCTCACTCTCAGCCATGGCTCGAACGAACGCCATCCCGCTGATGACGTCGCTGATGACGCCGCTGATGACGCTGATGACCACGATGACGCTGCTGACGTCAGCAGCCGCGGCTCTCTACGGCTGGCAGCAGGCAGTGACCCTCTCCGGAGCGCACGTGCAGGCCACCACCGCACCGTCAAAGATCACCTGTGGGATCAAATGTGAGACAAGGGCCACAAACGACTGTACGGGCTTCAGCTATGAGTCAGAAAGCGGCAAGTGCCACTTGTTCTCTGGTGGCTGCCGCAGTCCGGTTGTCGATAATGCCCAACAAGGCACCTTTTTGAGTGCGCTGCACTTTTCAGGTAAGAATGCTCGGAGAGGGCTACCCGCGCCGTGGCAAGGGGGGGGGGGGTATTTGTGCCACCCACCCTTTGTTTTTTTTACGAATAGGTATCCGGCAAACTTGTCTTCTGTAATGGCCACAT